GTGAGCAAAACCACCCACTTACTATATCATCAGGCTCCTGCACAGGAAGAAAAAAAAAAAGAATATATAGGGAAGAAAAGCCACTGACCTAAACTGAACAAAATCCAAGCTTGCAGACTGATGCAGAGGTTTATTCTTATAACTATACTACTGCCATTGCAGCCACACATGTCCTACAGCTTATGTTTCATCAGCTCTGGGATCTTGGCCTGAGTTTGCTCTCCGCTTACACTGCTGTCAGCACAGATCTGACAGTGCTGCCAAAGGCGACCCTCGCTGCCCAGAAAAGCTGCGTGCAAGGACAAAGCTCTCTGACCAAGGTGAGCATCCATCCAACTGGCCACACCTGTCATGGAATGTATTTATATTAATATTTATAGCAATATTAATATCTAGATATACATTTACATCTATTTTTTTGTTTATGAGATGCAGATGCAGATGCACATGTAGATATGCGTATCCACATCTATATCTATAGATATACACAGCCATGCCAGCAGCACTGGCTGGGACCATGCAGCAAAGCGCTGCCCACACTCACTGTGTAAAAAGCAATATCATGAGAAAATAGGACCCAGAACTCCTTGAGACCATGGCCAGATCCAATGCAACCAGTGAGAAAAGTTTTTTCTGATCTTTACAAGCACAGCAATCACCTCCATGAATGACCCTGATTTGGCATGAAAGACGAAAGGGTATTTGCAATATCCTTTAAATTTAGCAGCTGGGAGGAGAAAGGAGCACTGCAACTACCCAGGCATCTACCACAAGCCATGGGGAAAAATATTTGCAGGGCTGTGGCTGGCTATGGAAGAATAATAATGTGGATACCAGTTGAGTTATGTTATCTGTCTGAGCCTCTGGGCACAGTATAGATTTGCTCTCTGCGAAAGCACTTTCGCCTATTAACAAAGCATGTTCGTGCCAGCATTTCGTCCCATGACCTCAAACGCCTCCACACAACCCCAACATCACCATCTCCCACGCACAGCCCTCCCAGCGGGGTCCTCGCCAGCGTGGGGTGAGGAACAGTGGCCCCAGGATTCAGGAGCATAAAAGCAAGTGCTTGCAGAGCTGGGCGGCGATGTTGGCTCATTCCAGACAAAACAGCCCTTCGGTTTGCGAGACGGCTCCAGCAGTGACTCAGAGCTGGGGTAGAGGAGAGTGGCATCAGCACGGCGTGCGAAGCCAGCGAGCTGCTGTGGAGGAGGCTTCATACAAAAGAAACCCTTCCCCTGCCTTCATCCTCTGCCCACATAAAAACCTCTGTCCTTTCTCACTCAGACAAAAGGAAAAAGAAAAAAAAAAAAGAAAAACCCACAAAGACACAGAGAAACAAACAAACAAACCAACCCCCCCCAACCAACCAGAAAACCCAGCTAATGAAATACAAAATCCTTTGCTCGGCTACTGATATAGGCAGCTGCAGTTTCTAGGCTACATCAGCAGACACGGGCAGGCAAAGCGGGCTTATCCCGTGACAGGCACTTGATAAGGGATTGCTAAGGAAAATCCATGATGCTGAAGTTGCTTGGGCAAT